TCGTGGTGCTGGTGGGCATGGGCATCGCCGTGGCCGGCTACTGGCCGGGCCGCGCCTCCCACGCCCCGAGGACCGGCCGCGCGCACGGGCCACACGAGCGCCTGCGGCTACTGGGGCCGGTGATCATGGGCGTCGGCCTGTTCGTGTTCATCTGCGCCAACACGCTGCTCTACGAGAACCGGGACCTGGAGACGCGGCGGCTCCGCCGGGGAGTGCTGAGGGCGCAGGCGCTGCGGCCGCCCGACGGCTCTGGCTGGGATGCGCTGCTGCCCAGTCCGGCGCATGGGTCCCCGGGCACCGTCGCGGAGCCTGAGACTTGGGACCTGGCCCCGAGGCGGGGTCCCTCGCCCGTCCCGTCGGTGCGCAGCCTGCGGTCCGAGCCTGCCAATCCTCGCTCGGTGTTGCCCGCGCTGCTCCATAGCTACCCGTTGAAGGGCCCGGGGCTGCCGCCACCTTGGGGTCCTCGGACTCAGACTGGCCACGTGATCATCACGGTGCAGCCCTCTGGTTCCTGCATTGAGCACTCCAAGTCTCTGGACCTGGGTCTGGGGGAGCTCCTCCTGGGGACTCCAGCAGCTCGGGACTGTGCCCACCGAAGCTGGCCACGGCTTGACAGACTCAGCTTGGGTGGCTATGCCAAATTAGGAGGGGACTTGGGGGCCAGGGTCTGAGGTGCAAGGGATAACCTGCTGTGAGGCTACCAGCGTGGACCATGGGACCAGGACACCAGAAGTCCAGTGTCCACTAGCTGTTTCAGTCACCTCTGAGGCTAGGATGGATGCCGAGGTGACAGCAGCCGCTCAGGCTCCTGACCTGCATGTTAGAGCAGTGCCAGCTGCACCGGGCAAGCCTCAGGGGCATGTGTTAATGTGGACACCAGCATGATTCAGCCTCAGGAATTTCTTCAGCCCCTGTGGCCTTAGCCCGGCACAGGTACCCGAGAGGCTGCAGGCTAAGCCAAGAGCATCCAGAGATGCACCGGTACCTTGGCAAACTCAACAGTGGTGGGTTGGGATGTCTCAGGCTGGGACAGGCTCCCTCCAAGGTGGCAGTGGAGATGGACGTGGGACCTCCCGGGGAAGGTGGGCAATGAGGTGGAACGCAGAGCCTCTGCAGCTGTCCGGGGCAGTGACTGCACCTCTAACCGCTGCCACTTCAAACCCATTCTTCCTGCAGCCACGTGGGCTGCCCCAGCGGGGATAACTACTGCCAGTGCCCTGCTCCTGGGGTCAGACTGCTCTCCTGGAGACAGGTCCGGCTCACTTTTGTCGCAACGCCTCTCCCAAGTTGGCAGAAGGCACCCGCCAGTTCTCAGCAGTTCCACATTCCGGAGCTGCATGCACTCGGGCCAGTGTGGGCAGCTTATTGTACACAGCGGCTTCCCTTCTCATCTCCCCTGCCCAGGGTGAAGGTTTAATTTTTTCCCATGCTTTTGTTGGAAGAGAAATTTTAAAGTAGATCAGTCCTCACAGTCAGGTCTTTTTGTTTTATTATTTTTTTTATGTTTATTGAAAAATGCCATACAAGAAGCAAGACCAAACAACCTAAAACACGACAGCCACATCTGTCACTATGAAGGGTGCAGACAGCAGGCCTGATTTACTGCCTAACTCACCTAAGGGGTTCCAGTTGGACTCTGCTGCCATGTTTTGTCAAATGTAAACAACTACTTGATATGATTCATAATTTTTAAAAAATTTACAAAGCTCCTTCATTTTTGTCATCAAAATAATAGATCTGAGAGAGATTTGTAAAAACAACCAACCAGGGGCTTCTATTTCTCATGAGCAGTGGGGATGCTGGCTAGGCCGAAACTCCAGCTCCATTTCTCAATGTGGGGCCACGGCCCCCCAACCCCAGCTGCTCAGCGACCCCCAGAATACACTGCTGGCCTGGGGGAGGGTCCCTGGAGTTAGCCTCCTTGGGCCCTCAGCTTAGGAATATAGGGCTTGCTTTGTGGGTGGGTGGCAGAGATCTCATGTGGTTTGAAGGAAATCTACTTCTGAAGTAAAAATAAAACTGCAGTTGGGTTTGTTACTGTGGTGTGCCTGAGTCACTTTAGGAAAATTCCTGCCAAGTCCCTGACCCTGGAGATGGAACTCCCCTCCCCCCATCACTATGTCTACCTGGACAGAGTCTGTTCTTCACACCAACTGCAGAAAGAAAGAAAGGAAAAAAATCCAAACAATTACCATCTCCCAAGATCTGTTGCCAGAACCAGCAAAAGAGGGAGGGGGAGGCCTGGAGGGATGTCAGAATTCTGGCCCAATTTCCAGACAAAGGCAGCAGAGAGGAGCAGAGGTCAGGAACCCAGGTCTGAGATCCTGATGGGGATAGCACAGAGCACAGTGCTGAATGGGCAGGCGGCCCCTCTCTTCCTCCTCCTGGGTCTCAGCTCTTGTCCTTGCTAACCCCCCTCCCTAGCACAGCCTCCTCTGGCTCAAGCCCTCAGTCTGTGGAACCCAAGCCTGGCCCTCCTTAGAGCAAGCTGCCGTTGGTAACAGTCTCATGGGAGCTAAAAGAAAACGCACACTCAAAACCAGTTCAAAGTCGCTGAGTTTGTGTGAAGAGCACGCGGCCAGGAGGCTCCTGACGTTACACATGCTCACTGCCCTTCGGCCGCTGCTGCCGGGGACCCGCTGTCAACCCTCATGAAGTTCATTCCTAGCCTAGAATTAGGAATCTAAGAGGCTTCCAGGCAGATCTGTTTGTAGGAAGTAAGCTGGAGGATTACAGAGGCCCTGTTTGGGGGGCGGGGGGAAGTCCCCAAATTCTCACCACCAATTGGGGACATCAGGCTCCCTTTTAAAAACCAATATTTAGAAAAAAAAAAGGAAAAAGGAAACCAAATCCAAAACCCACAATAAAACAAAGCCCCCCAAACCTGACAGACTTCTCAGGCAATGGAGGAGTGAACAGAGTTGGCTCACACCACCCTGACCAGGGATGACCACCAGGAGGAAGACATACCCTTGCTCCTGGAGAGCACCCTCAGGCAGCTGCCTGTCCCCTCTTCCCTCAGCCACACCCCTTACCATGCCTGGTAGAGAGGAGGCCCAGGCTGAGGCTGGAAGCACTCTTGGTAGGGTCCTTCTGAGGTAAAGGCGCCACTCCCCTGGGTGAGGCGCACCCCTGAACAACAAGACCTGATTTTTAAAACCTCATTAACTTTTCTTCCTCAAACTGCAACTAAAAAATGTTCCACTGGCACTTTTGGAAGTGCCTGATTTTTCCGTGAGTTCCGGTCTCCTGAGATGGGAGCTGGGAACAATGGGGGAAGCTGTTTCTGAGGAGGGAGAGGGTAGCCGGGGAGGTGAAGGCCACAGATGCATTCAAACGTTCACAGTATGAGCTCTATCTGAAGCAACTGATGTCTCGGACCTAAAGCTCCAAACAGAAGGTGGGGGAGGGGGCAGCAGGTGCCCAGCCGAGGTCGCTGCCTCACCAAACACCCTGCACAGGGAGGTCCTGTTTCTGGGGTCTGTGACCAGGGCATCTGCCCTGCCTGGCATTCACTGGTGCATAGTTTCTGTGCCATCCAGGGTATGACGCTGGAGGAGGAGCAGGAGGTCCCACTGAGCTGGCTCTGGCCTCTGCAGCTGACAGGGTCTCTGAGGGGTTCTGAAGAAGTCTGTGGATCCTGTCACGGTCTGGGTTGGAAACGAGTGAGGAGAGGCAAGGCTGAGGGGTCACCAACCACCCCATAAAAAACCCAAAATGTCTTAAAAACAGTTCATAGACCAAAAAGTTGACAATTTCCGTATCACAATATAGAAAACATCTGTGGCATCTAGAAGAGTCTCGATAGAAATCCCAAATAGAAAATCAAGTTGGTTTTCTGTGGTGTGGAACAGTCTGAAGTCTGACTGCTGCAGGCTGGCTTCTTTATGATATGCTGGCTTCTCCTGGGTGGGGAAGGGTGAGGGCCGGGCAGAACAGTCCCTAGAGGGAAGAAAAGCATGAGTTTGAACCCCCACAAAGGAGCACGCTTCCAGCACCCCCACCAGGTTCTCCTGGCTGTAACATGGTGAGCTGCACTGGCTGTCCCCCAGCGTTCACTGCAGGCATTCGTTTATCTGCACTCTGCAGGTCCAGCTAGTTAGCCTGCCGCCCCCCCCCGCCCCCCCCAGCTCTACATTTTCCCCCACCCCCCACCCCCCCGCCCGTGTGTTCTTTCCAAAGCCCGGCCCTGTTCTCAGCCCTGTTCTCTAGCCCTCCCCGGTCCTGGCCCACGGATCCTGGTGTTGCCAAGGCAGAATAACAGAGTGTAGGGGACTCCAGAGGTGGTAACAGTTCAGACCCAAGTTGAGGTACCTCCTCCCCCCTAGTGATGCTGGCACCAAGGCAGAAGGACACACATGACCTGGCTGCTCTGGTTGGAGCCACACAGTTAACAATAGCCTCTGCCTTACTTGACTGAGTTCCAGTGTGGACACCTCTTGGGGTCAGGGCCTCCCCAAGTGTCTAGAGTTCCTGAGAACTCTCTCTGGCTGAGATGGTGGCATCCCCCATCCCATCAGGAACACCCCTACCTGAGCTCACTCCTCAGAGATCTCGGTCTCCTGGTGGACGACCACCTTGGTCACTGACATGTCTGGGTGCTGTTCCTTGGCCTCCTTGATGGCTTGTACAAGGACCTGTGAAAGACAGGCAGAGCTGGTCAAAGCAGCCCAGCTGGTGAAGGAAGCCTGGGGCATTTCTGTGATGATGGCAGTGCCAGGGCAGCAGCACACACATAGCACAGCCCAAGTGGATCAGTACCTTGCCCTGTCCTATCCTGCAGAGGGAGGCTACTGGACTCAGAGCACAAAGGCAGGGAAGGGTAGAGTTTTTCTTCAGAGAGACAGGCAACCTCGGGAGTGAGAGGCTTCGTTCAGGTGGTGAACACAGAGCACAGGCCGGGTTCAATATGGGAACAGGGGCCAGGCCAGGAAGGTGAGGGAGCACACAGGTTTTAAAAAGGAAGAGGTGTCTTTGGCAAAAGTGGGAGGAGGCAGGAAGACAGACAGGCAGGCTGACCTATGGCATGCTAGGTCTGGCTAAGCCCATTTATTTACTTAATCTTCACAAGCGAGTGAGTCAGGGTTCTGCTGTGAGTCCCACTGTAAACAAGGACGCTGCAGGCCACACAGACGCTGGGAGGGCAACCGGGCTTGTGAGTCTGATTCTCTCCTTTGTCACACAGTCCCTTAGGCTCCAGGGTGCCAGCCTGAGCCACCCGGACACCACTGTCCTGGGAGCCTGTTAGAGCTGTTTGCCCTACGGATCCTAAGGACAGTCTCCAGCCAGTCAAGGGGGGCATCTAGACCTCCACAAAACCTGCTGTCTCTGCTGCCCCTGCTCTTCCCTGACTCAGCTGTTACACTCTGGGCCCAGCTCAAGTCTTCTCCCTGGAGGCTCCACCTCCCTCTAAGAAAGCCTGGACTATGCTACCTTTCTTAACAGTCCATCCTAAAGTGCACCCCCTACCCCCCAGAGCACACCACACCTTCTCCCACCCAGAGCCTTCGGTTCCTAGAAGAAACAAGGGTCCCTGGAGCATTCTCGGAGTCATCTAGTATCACTACATCAACTCTGACCCATGATGATCTTCATTTTATAGGGTAAAGGCCCAGCTCAAAAGTTGCTAAGGGGTGTACACAACAGGTCAGGGCAGAGTTAGAGTTCAGGCTTGTGCTACTTCAAATACCTTCTACCAGTCGGGCAGTGGTGGCACACGCCTTTAATCCCAGCACTCAGGAGGCAGAGCCAGGCGGATCTCTGAGTTCGAGGCCAGCCTGGTATACAGAGCGAGATCCAGGACAGGCACCAGAACTACAGAGAAACCCTGTCTGGGAACAAACACCTTCCACCGCACAGCTCTTGCTGTCAGATAACACGCAGCTGCTTTCTAACCACAGGCTGCAGGCTGGTAGTAGGAAGGACCCACTGAGCTCAGCACCCAGGCCACAGGCCCCCTCTTGGGCCTCGGGCCTGGCTTCTGGGACCCTGAGCACAGTCCTCACAGCAGTGAGTCCCAGCCCCGCAGACCTGCCCCCTTCACCGGCCCCCTCCACCCCTCCCCTTGGCAGCCTCACTAACAGCACCCAGCAGAGAATTGGGAACATTAATTCTGACCTTATTATTTGCTAATTGCTTGTAGCACACAATTAGCACCTAATTAACATAAAAACATAGAATTTTAGCACCCAGAAGGGCCCAGGAATTATCTAGATCAACCCACTCTCTTTTGGAGAGGAAAACATCAAATGTAAAGGGATCTGCCCAAGGTCACAAAGCAAGTTGGTGACAGCTCGGGGGCAGAGTGAGCCCCACATCCCCAGGTGCCGTACCCACCTCCTGCTGTCTGCTACCATCCCACTCCGGGGCAGGGACGGCACCTCCTCTCTTGTTTCTGTGTCACCCCGGGAATAACAACATCTCAGGATCCATGGACATGGAGCCCACATGCACCCGCCATCTCCTCCACACACACACTTACACACAGGGTCTCACTGTGGTGAACTTCCTGCCTCAGCCTCCTGAGTGCTGGGACTAGAGGTGTGGCCACCATGCCCATGCACCTCCTGTCTACCCCACTAACAGCCCCGCCCTGCAGGCTGCCATGTTTTGAGCCCCTTGTTTTTCTTCCAAAGAGCTGAAGCAGCTGTTGGAGGAGGCTGCTGTGCCCATCAGGACCACTGCTGCATTCCCACCTGATCGTGGTCAATATCTCCATCTCCTGTGATCACAATTCTCTTCTCAATCCGGGTCTCAGAAATGCCACCTTTTACAGTCTGTAACCAGAGGAAGAGGCGAAGTGAAAGCCTCAGCCACAGCAGGAAAGAAAAGCAAGACAGCCCAGAAGATTCTAAAAGCTCTCTTCAAAATGTTTTGTTTCTTGGTTTGTTATTGTGAGAATGTAGCCCAGGCTAAGCACCATGATGCTGGTACTACTCAGAACAGCTCCTCACCTTGGACCACTAGACTCTAGTACACTGAACAAACAAAAAGACAGTTCATTATTCCCTACAGAAACCCAGAAGGAAGAGTGGCGT